GACTCTCACCAGCTGCTGTAGACCTGCACTATACAGCGACAGGACAACTAAATCGTCAGCATACAAGAGATGACTGAAATAGACGAATCGAAAGTGCACTGTATCGAGATATCTATCGTATCGGCAACTTCTGAATGATACCCAGCCCTATTTAAGACAGTAAAAATCTGGCACAATGTTATTCTGATGTACTTTAACCTCTTGCAGTATTGATAATGTTGTGATGTGTATTGTGCTTTAGTGTAGTCTGCGTGCTTGTTGGGAATTGTTGGGGGAAAAAAACAAAACAAAAACAGATTGTTGGCACGATAAAACTAGTTCAGGACAGGACGGGACCAGAAGACCACAGCGGATGTGGAGATAAAGTTGCGCCAGAGAACGTGGGCATGTGTTCTGCTGGTTTATCAGACGAGAGTTGTCACGACTCGTCCCGGTGATGGTCTGCAGAAACACACAGAGACAGACGACAGGACAGGGATGGATGATACAGGAGAGAGAGAGGAGGGAGGGAGAGAGAGAGAGACGAATAGAAGGGAGAGAGAGAGAAATAGAGAGGAGTAGGAGGGAGGAAGAGAGAAGTCAGAGGAAGGGAGAGACAGAGGAATAGGAGGGGGAGAGAGAGTGGAGTGGGAGAGAGAGGAATAGGAGCGAGAGAGAGGGAGAAAAAGAGAGGAATAAGAGGGAGGGAGGGAGAGGAATAGGAGAAAGAGTGGGAGAGAGAGAGGAATAAGAGGGGAAGCGGAATGGGGGAACAGAGGAATAGGAGAGAGAGAGATAGGTGGAAGGAAGGGGGAGAGAGAGAGAGAGCTGAATAGAAGGGAGAGAGAGAGAAATAGGATGGAGAAAGAGAGGAGTAGGAGAGAGAGAGAGAGAGAGAGAGGAGGAGGGAGGAGAAGAGAGGAGAAGAGAGAGTAAGGGAGAGAGAAAGTAAGGAAGGAGAGAGAGAGAGAGAGAGAGAGAGAAGAGGAAAATAGGAGGGAGCGAGAGAGAGGGAGAAAAAGAGAGGAA